TTTTCTTTTTTGTTTTCTGTTTGTTCCTTCTATTTTCATTTCATTATTTTCTTTACCTTGCCTTCCCATGGGTTATTTGAACATATTTTTAGAATTGTAAATTGTGTCTCAATTGCCCTATAGTGTTTAAGTGTGTTTCTTTTTGTAGGTTTTTTGTGTGGTTGCTCTAGGTAATATATTACATGTATACAACTTACAACATTGTATTGGTGTTGACGTTTAACTAGAGTGAAATGTAGAAACCTTAAATCATTTAAATTCCTTTATTTTCTACTTTATCTCATAATGGACTTGTCTTAAATATTTTCTCTATATATATTGAAAACCACATCAGACAATGTATGCTCTGTACTTTAAGCATCAAAAGCATACTTTAGAAAACTCAAGAGGAGAAAGAAAACCCATATTTTTGCTTATTATGTTCTTTATTACTTCTTGATACTTTCAGGTTCCTTCTTTTTTGTTTCTCTTTTGTTTCCAGAACTTCCTTTAGTTATTTTTTTTAGGGTAGATCTGCTGGTTACAGATTCTCTTTGTTTGTTTGTTTGTTTGTTTGTTTGTTTTTGTCTGAGAATGTATTTGTCATTCTTTTCTGAGAGATAGTTTTATCATATTTAGAATTCAGGTTGACATTTCTTTTATTTTACCAATTGAAAAATATTGTGTAACTTCCTTCTGACCTGTAAGGTTTCTGATGAGAAATCTGCAGCCATTCAAATTGTTTTTCCCTTTAGGTAAGGCGTTGTTTTTTTCTTGCTGCTTTTAAGATAGTTCATTTTTAGTTTTAGTTTGATTATGATGTATCTTGTAACATATATCTTTGAGTATTTCTTGTTTAGAATTTTACATAGTTTCTTGATTATGTAAGCTTATACCTTTGGCCAAATTTGGGACATTTTCGGTCTCTTTTTCTTTGAATACCTTTTTTTTTTTTTTTTTTTTTTAAAGATTTATTTCCTTTCTTTTCTCCTGGACTTAGAATAATATGAGTGTTAGCCTTTTTGCTATAGTTTTTTTAGGCCCTTTTGGCTATGTTCATTTTCTTTCTTTCTTTTTTTTTTTTTCTTTAGTCTATTTTCTGTATGTTTTTCAGACTGGGTCATTTTTCTCATTCTGTCTTCAAGTTCACTGAGTCATTAATCTGTCCTCGCCATTCTATGGTTGAGCCCGTCAATTTGCTTTTTCTATTTCAGTTATTCTTTAGTTCTAAAATTTCCATATGGTTCTTTATGTGTTTTCTAGTTCTTGTTCTAGAACTGGAAAGCCCAGCAATACATTTTTGTACTATTACTAAAGAAAGATATTTTATTAACTTAGTTCTGTACTTTTAAGCTGCAAAAAATAAGAATATCAAGTGATAAGTATTATCAATAGTCTTAATAGTTTTTAGGACTATTTTCTATATGATTTACCGTTAATTATCTTGTTCTTACAGGGACACTGATTTTTAGTCATTCAACAAGTGTTTATTTAGTACTTATATTTGACAGTTCTGTTTTGTTTGGTTTTGGTTTTGGTTTTTGGTGATGAAGTCTTGCTCTGTTGCCCAGGCTGGAGTGCAGTGATGCCATCTCAGCTCACTGCAACTTCTGCCTTCTGGGTTCAAGTGATTCTCTTGTTTCAGCTTCCCAAGTACTGGGACTGAGAGCTACATGCCGCCATGCCTGACTAATTTTTGTATTTTTAATAGAGACAGAGTTTCACCATGTTAGGCAGGCTGGTCTCAAACTCCTGACCTCAGATGATCCACCCACTTCAGCCTCCCAAAGTGCTGAGATTACAGGCATGAGCCACTGCACCCGACCTATATGACAGATTTTTGCCAATCAGATGTTTTGTTTTAGTTTCAAATGGTTAAACAACTTATTTTATGTTTTTATTTTCAGAGAAGAAGAAATACATTTCTGCCTTTTTGGTAGAGAGGCAAGCACAGAGGGAGAAGAGAAATTTTGAGCTGACTTTTCTTACTATCACATAAAAGTGTTAAGAATTTTTATTTACAGGCTTCATACTATATTTTCTCTAATGCACAGATTTGTCGATGCTTTGTTATGGGACAATACTGTATTTTGAAAGGACTACCGGTTTTCTGAGACTCAGATACACTTAGCTTTTTGGGTAGCTATCCAGACATGGGCATAATTATCCCCTGTACTGGCCATTTCTGTATACTTAAGTGTGTTTTAACAATATTGTAATTATTTGTGCCATGAAAAGGCTTGGGAAGCACTTCTCTAGTGCACAGGTTAAAGAATGGGGTTCCTTTCTACAAATTGCATATTGTGTGTGTTAGATAATAAAGCCTCATTCTCTTTCATAAGTAAGTTTTTTCAAAGAATTGTCTCCAGTAATTCTCAAACATCTGATCATAATCATCTGGAAATCTTGTTAAAATATAGATTGTTAAGCCCACCAACAGTTTCTAATTCATTAAGTCTAGAATGGCACCCAAGAATTTACATTTCTAGCATGTTCCCAGTTGTTGTTGATGATGCAATTTGAGGATTGCAAGTTAAGAACCATTCATTTACACACAACTTTTTCTACTTTTTCACTTCCCTTGGTTCTTCAGTTTCTTCAATCTTATTTTAATTTTTATCATTCTATCCAATTGTTCTTCCTGATATCTTTTCTAATCTTCATTGTTGCCAAATCCAATGCATAATTTTCACTTCCTCATCTCATTTGATATGTAAAAATCATTCAGTATAGTTGATTTCTTTTATGTTTAGGAAACTATTTGATTTGGAGACCTCCTTCTATCTCCCTCCTACCTTCCTTTTGTGCTCTGCATGCTATTTCTCAATCTTTTCTCTTTTTTTCCTCAAATCAAACACTAAATGTTAGAATTCAGTTTGGGTTCTCTTCATACCTTATTGTGCCTTCTATTCCTAAATGATCTCACTCCTGTCTGTCTGTATGTTAATAATTGCCAATTTGTGTCTCCAGATCAAAACTTTAAGTTTTATTACACCCTGACCAATTTCTTTCTTATATGTCCACTCAGTTCAAATGATGTATCACAAATCAACCACTATATTGAATACATTTTAAGATGTACATTTTTATCATTTTTATATCCTGAAATGTATGAGTCCTATCATCAGTGGCATCATATATTTTATGAACTAGAGTAATTCCCTCTTACCCATCTCTAACAAGAAGTGTTCTTCCTCCAGTCTTCTCCATCTCATAATTTTTTTCTTTCATTCAGTTGTTAATGCCAGAAATCAGGTAGTTAACTTTGACTCTTTAGTCTTTCTTAACAGTGTTACTTCTATCTCAGAAACATCTCAGTCCCTCTTTTCTTACCATGTCTATTGCTATTATCTTTTTTCAAGCCATAGTTACATTTCCCAAGGGTTATTGTAAATGTCTTTTAACTTTTGGTGTCATACAACCTAGTCTCTCTATAGTACTTAGATTCATCATTTTAAAATGTTCATCAGATCATGTCACCATTTCACTTAAAATCCTTCAATGGTTGAAATTTCGGGTGTTGAACAATGAGAACACATGGACACAGGGAGGGGAGCACTACACACTGGGGTCTGTTGGGGGGAAATGGGGGAAGGAAGGAGGGGTGGGGAGGTGGGGAGAGATAGCATGGGGAGAAATGTCAGATATCGGTGAAGGGGAGGAAGGCAGCAAATCACACTGCCATGTGTGTACCTATGCAACAATCTTGCATGTTTTTCACATGTACCCCAAAACATGAAATGCAATAAAAAAAAAACTTAAATATGACATAGAAAGACCCATCTAAGTTGGTCTATGCTGCCTCTCCAGTCTCACTTAGTATTATATTCTTCCTCATTCTTTTTGGTTCAGAAACTATGGTGTTCCCTCAGTTCTTTCATAGCACCATGTTGTCACATCTTTCAGTTCTCATCTTAAACATTATTACTTTAGGGGTGTTTGCTGACCCCAAAGTCTAAATTAGATCTTATTGTACTCTTCCATAGTGCTTTATATTTTCCTGTATGACACTGATTTGTTCTGTTTCTCTATCCCTACTCTGTTGTAAGCAAATTTCATTGTTTTACCCTTTACAGTACAGCTTAGCATAATACATAGCAAATGGAAGGTGTTCCGTATTTTTAGAAAAATAAAATATAAATAGAATTTTTAAAGATATATGTGCACATATAGACTAAAAAGATATTTAAGGTAAAAAATTTAATATTTTGAAATACTGAGCAAATAAGTAGCATGCAAGTTTGGGAAATGGTAGATATGCATTCTTAGTTGCCAATTACATAAATTGAAAAATTACTTTTTAATTTACTTTTTATAAGAATAATTTCTGAAAAAAAGTTGAAATATTATTTCAAAATATTAAGTAATTCATGATGTTTAAGTAAAGTTAATTTTTGCTAATATATATTGAATGAATCTGCTTTTTAATTTTCATACAAAGTTAATATTTTATGGAAACAATTTTTTTAACCACCCAAATTTCTTAGGAGGTTTTTGCATGATGAAAAATATCATACGCATTTCAGAAGCGATGTTTTATTATTTGGCTTTTTAAAATAGTAGTTATTGACAAACCAATGTAAAATTTTTAAATGTTCCTTAATCTCTGGAGAACAAACTCATGTCTTTAGAGCAGCATGAGAGCAAAAAAAATTAGCATGAATAACAGACATAGCTGATTGTCTTTTTATTTTTCAGCATATACATTTTTTTGTTTCTATTTCTGTTTATTATTAGCTTTTTCTCTTTTTGCAGGACTTTTGTTCTATAGGGTCGGTCTAGAGTACATAAACCTTATATTATACATTCTATAAATTTTACTCATTTTGAATATTAGCTTTATTTTGGCATATATATATATATATATATATATATATATATATATATATATATATAGTGAGTGCTACAGACAAAGTTCTTGAGACCAGACAGGATCACACAGTTTAAAATGTTTATAATGTCTCTGTCTGTCCCTTTTTTCACCATCTCCTTTACTGCGCTCTTTTGTCTGACTCTCACAGGAGACATGGATTACAACTGGTTGGATCATACGTCTTGGCATAGCAGTGAGGCATCCCCAATGTCTTTGGTGAGACATGTGGAGCCTTACTATTTAATTTTCGTTATCATTTCACTTTTCCTTTTTTTATTTACACCTTTGCATGTTTCTTTTTTGTATCTTTTTTTTTTTTTTTTTATCCCACACCTGTAGGGGACAGTCAAAAGGGAAAAAGAAAAACTAGTGAGCAGGCAGTTTTGTCGGACTCTAACACCAGGTCTGAGAGACAAAAGAAAATGATGCACTTTGGTGGCCACTCTTTGGAAGAGGATTTGGAATGGTCTGAGCCTCAGATTAAGGACTCTGGGGTAGATACGTGTAGTAGCACAACCCTTAACGAGGAGCATAGCCATAGTGATAAGGTACTGAGATTGTGGAGCCTGCCTTTTAACCTGCTCATTTGGTCTTCGTTTGCTCTCTGTCACTCATTAAAACAGAACATAATAAAAGGACAGGGCATCTCAAGGGTCACTGTAGCATTTCTTAAGGTGCAGAAAAGAAAAACAAAACAAATAAACCGAAAAAAACCTCTTGCTTGCTTTGCTGTTTTTATTGTTTGACAGCATACCAAAAAATAAGTATATGAAAATAAAACTTAGAAACAAAGGAATGTTTTTGGCTTTTGTCACGTGAGAGAACTTTGTAATGTTATTAAAAACCACAAATAATAAATAATTTTTGGATTGGCTTATTTGATTGCTTGCATATATTTTCCTTGGGATGAAAATTAAATTATCAATAGTTTGAATCCCAGGCAAAAGGGAGATAATTGGGTCTGTTTGCACAGAAAAAGTTGTTTTTCTTTTTTCCCTTTCACTGTCATTTTGGTCTTTTGTTTTATTGTCATAGCATTTTAATGTAGTATTAATTAGTAGTAGAGCCCTTGCCATCTGCTTTAATATTTATTATTTTTGCTTTTAGGATAGTGGGACTTCTGAAATCTTTTTACCATATAGATGTGATTGACTGAAACTTGTGTTTTGCCTGTGAAATTTTGCATGAAGATATGCCTGTTACTTTTTGATAACTGTGAAGCTATGATTACACAAATCATTTTCTTTCCTATTTAGCATATCATTCATAATAGAATAATGTTATTATTTACAGAGGCCTTGGTTCAGCCCCGAGGAAGAAGTAAACTACTAATGTTTTCAAGGTTATTTAACGATGAATATCACTGAATTATCTAGTAAAAATAATTTACTAAATAGATCAAAGACCTGAAAGAATCATGTAAGAACCTCTGAAATGTGAGAAACGTAATCTATTCTCATCTGTAAATGAAGTCTTTTTCTCCCATGCAGATTCATTTGGGAATTTTTTGGGGGCTTATGTACATTTAACTATTTTAATCTAGAAACCTACTCAAAAAATACCTCATCATGTGTTCCAATTTAATGTTTTAATATGATTTGACTTTTTAATTTTTTTTTTTTTTTTTTTTTTTTTGAGACGGAGTTTCGCTCTTGTTACCCAGGCTGGAGTGCAATGGCACGATCTTGGCTCACCGCAACCTCCGCCTCTTGGGTTCAGGGAATTCTCCTGCCTCAGTCTCCTGAGTAGCTGGGATTAAAGGCACGTGCCACCATGCCCAGCTAATTTTTCGTATTTTTAGTAGAGACGGGGTTTCACCATATTGACTAGGATGGTCTCGATCTCTCGACCTCGTGATCCACCCGCCTCGGCCTCCCAAAGTGCTGGGATTACAGGCTTGAGCCACCGCTCCCGGCCGACTTTTTAATTTTTACTGTAATACAGGTTTTCAAAATGTTCCAAAAGTGTTTGGAGAGAAAATTTTCATTTTTATATGAATTCACTTGCATAGACTTTCACTGTATCTTTTCTGCCTGTGCATTTTTATTTTTCGGCATGTAGATAATTAGAGTCTCATGTATTTTCAAAATTTCTCAGATTTTGTAGAGCTATATAACTTAAGTATTGTGTCAGAGAACTGTAAGAATTGGAAGTAATTGGATTTAAAAAAAAAACCTTCAGATTATACTGAGGTTATAAGCATAATGTAGTACATCCTTATGGTCAGTGCTTTGAAATCAAAGCTGGTTTGTGTAATCATAATACTGGAATTCTGAAGTTCAGAGTGGTTGTACAATCAGAGATCATTTGTCATAAAGTGATAAATAAAATCCTTTACTTATTTTGTTTGTTGATGCAAAATGTCAGCACCCTGTAACCTGGCAGCCATCTAAAGATGGAGATCGTTTAATTGGTCGCATTTTATTAAATAAGCGTCTAAAAGATGGAAGTGTACCTCGAGATTCAGGAGCAATGCTTGGCTTGAAGGTATGTAATAAAATATATGAGATTTTGGCTTTATACTCTTTTATAGATTTATCAGAAAAGCAAAGGATAACTCTTTCAACTTGTACCAATTTAGTAGCACATTTTTCCATTTTCAGTAATTTGAGATTTGCACTCATTATACAAAACATTTCATTTTCCCACTATTATTTAAGAAGTTGCCATAATTCCACAGTAATACTTGTATATATAAATTTGAAGATATTAAACTCATTAGGATCAATTTGAATTTGAAATACAGTAATCAAATGTATTTTAACTATACAGCTTATTCTTTAAGTCTAAATCTATGTTTATATTTTATTAAAGTGATAGTTTTTTTATAATTACTCAAAAACGGGAAATGTGCTATGTATATTACAGATGAATTAATGTATATAACTTTGTATAAATATAGTAAAATATGTGTGTGTGTGTGTGTATGTGCATATGTGCACTTAAGAGAGAGCACTGTTTGAAGTCTAAAAACAAAAATAATTATTTTGGGAGATTAAATGCAAATATCGATTTATGTTTTACTGTAAAGTACCAGAAAATTATTTGGTAAATACATTAAATAGAGCTTTGTTTGGTTTTTGTGAATCTAGTATAACCAATTAAAACCTGAAATGTAAAAAGAGGCTGGGTGTGGTGGCTCACGTCTGTAATCCAGCATTTTGTGAGGCTGAGGCGGGTGGATCACGAGGTCAGGAGTTCAAGACCAGCCTTGTCAAGATGGTAAAACCCCGTCTCTACTAAAAAAATAGGGTGCCTGTAATGCCAGTTACTCGGGAGGCTGAGGCAGAGAATTGCTTGAACCTGGGAGGCAGAGGTTGCAGTGAGCCAAGATCACACCACTGCACTTCAGTCTGGGCAACAGAGTGAGATTCCATCTCAAAAAAAAAAAAAAAAAAAGAAAGAAAACAAAAAGAAAAAAGAGTATGCCAAGTGGTGCCATGACTCATACCTGTAATCCCAATACTTTGGAAGGCCCAGGTGGGAAAATCACTTTAGACCAGGAGTTTGAGACCATCCTAGACAGCATAGTGAAACCCTGTCTCTACCAAAATTTTTTAAATTAGCTGGGCGTAGCAGCACATGCCTGGAGTCGTAGCTACTGAGGAGGCTAAGGAAGGAGGATTGCTTAAGCCCAGGAGTTCAAGGTTACAGTGGGCTATGATCACACCGCTGCACTTCAGTCTGGGCAACAGAGTGAGACCCTGTCTCTCTGTAAGAAAAGTAAACGTTTTAGAGCTAAGCTAAGCTATTGCTGTAAACATTGTCTTGTAGAATATAGTAAGATATATTAGGAAACTTTGAATGTAGGTGGAATTGGGCCATGTATTAGATTACTTTTAGAGTGCTATAGAGAAATATCTGATACTGGATAATTTATAAAGAAAAGAGGTTCAATCAGCTCATAATTCCCAAGCCTTTATAGGAAGCACAGTGCCAACATCTACTTGGCTTCTGGGGAGGCCTCAGGAAGCTTACAATTATGGTCAAAGGTGGAGGGAGAGTACTCATGTCATGGCAAAAGCAGGAGCAAGAGAGAGTGAGAGTGGGAAGCAAGGTGCCACATACTTCTAAATGACCAGATCTTGCAAGAACTATCACAAAGACAGCACCAAGCCATGAGGGATCTGCCCCAGGATCCAAGCACCTGCCCTCAGGACCCACCTCCAGCATTGGAGATTACAGTTCAACGTGAGATTTGCACAGGAACAAACATCCAAACTATATCAGACTACTAACATTTATTGGGTGGCATCCATGTGGCTTGCACTTACCTGAGCAAGTACTCAGTTTTCTTAGTTAACACTCACAATATATCAGTTTTCTTAGTTAACACTCACAATAGACGAGAAATGGGCTTAGAGAGGTTTCGTAACTTCCCCATGGTCACAAGATGGTGACGATGGTGGGATTTAATTCAGATTTGGCCATTTCTAGGAACAGTGGCACGTGCCTATAGTTCCAGCTACTTCGAAAGCTAAGGCAGGAGGCTTGTTTGAGCCCAGGGGTTCAAGTCAAGCCTGAACAATATAGTGAGACTCTTCATCTTAAAAAAATTATTAATCTAGATATGCCTATTATAGTGTTAGAATAAAGATTAGGAAGTCTTGGCTTCAATTCCAAATACAGGAGTTACTAGTTACAGGAAACTGGACAAATAAACTTCTTTAGCTTTAGATTTCTTATCTGTTCAATAAGGATAATTGATTTGTTATAATATGATTAAATAAATCAACATGTAAACATTTAGTACAGTGCCTGGCAAGCTTTAAATATCAATAATCATTATAGCCAGTGTAATTAATTATTAATAATGTTTGTTAAGCCAAGAAAGTTTTTAAATATTTATGTAAGGATATAAGCACTTAAGAGATATACATTTAATTTTCAGAATCAAACATAGAACTAATTAGTTTATCAACTGAATTGCAGCTATGTGTAATTCACTGTAATTATGGAAAAAATGCAGGGAATAAGATACACCCCATGATTTTTGAATTTGAGTAACTTTCACTCCATTTAGAAGAGAACAAACAATTCATTTCAGTCAGTGAGGTTGATTGCTATTATTTGCTTCACTTGCCATGAAGTTGAGATCTTGTCTGAATGGCAGTTGATTAGAATCAAAGCATTAATTTTGTAAGATGCTAATATCTTACAAGTATACATATGACTCCACAGCATTATTCCTAACATTTTTATTCGTTTTCTAAAAGATATATTTTAATAGAAACATGAAAATGAAAAATTGGGATGCAGATGGTCTGAAGTTTATATTACTTATGATGCAACTAAGTAAATTTTGTAATTTTTCTCAAGGAAGATCCATCATCATTATGCACATTATCAATGTTCCTAAAAGATTACTAATGAAAATTTGGTGGTATATCTTAATTATAGTAAAATAAACCAAAATTTTGTATTAAAATATTTACATCTATAACTAGATATGTTTATATAAGTAATATGATACTGTAAAATATGTTTTCGGAAATAAAAGCAAGAATTCTGAAATAAGGTGGAAAATTACCAATTGTTATGGTGTTTCTAAGTTATGCAACATTTCAGCAAATAATGGATTAAATGGCAAAACGGTTGAAATATGTGAAAAAGACTTAGCTCTCAGGGCACATACTAACCTAATAGAGACAATAAATTAAGAAATCATTTCTGTACATTAAATTAGCATTTTAGGTGTGGTAAATTGTTCTAGGTATTTTTTACCTGAATATTCAACTATGCTTATTTTAACAATATTCCCATCTTAATACTTTCCTCTTTTAAACAGGTCGTAGGAGGAAAGATGACTGAATCAGGTCGGCTTTGTGCATTTATTACTAAAGTAAAAAAAGGAAGTTTAGCTGATACAGTAGGACATCTTAGACCAGGTAGAGTTTTACCTTTGATTGTACATTTACACCATTCAATTTGAGTAGTTAATGAGTTATTTTCATTTATTTAGAAGTGATTTGACAATAATAATTCATTTAACTTAAATATAAGTCTCTATTCATTAATGGAAAGTCATAACTATTATTTCTTGAGTCATAGTAGATAAAATCATTTTTATATTCACTTTGCCTTATTTTTTTCTGGTGGGTATTCTAATCTGTATTTAACACTAACCATTTTGTTGCCCATAAGACCTTTTCCTTTTGAGAAAATTCTAACATAGTTTAGAACAAACTTTATGGATAAATGCATATTTCCTACCACGTGTTACTCCTTATCTCTTTGGTAATGGATACTATTGGAGAAATCCTTGAGTACCTTAAAGAGGATTTGATAAGATACTAATTATTAAGTTTTTTACAAGAGAGTTTAGACAGTGAAAAACAAGGTGCTCAGTTGTACGTATATTGGGAAACCTACAGCACAGTCATAAAACCTTTAAAGAGGCAACTGATTTTGATAGTTGCTTAGAATTAGAATTTCTATTAAGAAATTACACAGAAATAATATTTATTTAATTTTTTCCTCTGACCATTGTCCTTTTCTGTGACATCTGCTATCACCCTGGTCATCAAACTTTATGTCACTGGAACTGTTCTCAGTATGTTTTGTATTGTATAATGGTTATTTTATCCTATGGAGTTTATTGAAGTTTAAGATTGCTATTAAGTGTATTTTATGGGATCAAATTTTATATATAAGATTACTATTATTGACACACACTATAGGTGATGAAGTATTAGAATGGAATGGAAGGCTATTGCAAGGAGCCACATTTGAGGAAGTATACAACATCATTCTAGAATCCAAACCTGAACCGCAAGTGGAGCTTGTAGTTTCAAGGCCTATTGGGTAAGTTGGTTTCAGCATTTTACATGTGTATGAAGTTAAATACTGTTAAACAATTTGTAATGTGCCATCTAATAATTTCTGATTGCTTTATGGAAATAATTTTATAGACAGTAACTCTTTATCTTTCCTTAGCAAAAGCACCTCACCAAAAATCATGATATCTCTCTATCTGATAATACAAATGGTAGAATATACAGTTAGTTACAAAAGAAGAAGAAATATTTAAGTGTTTATTCATTTTATTATTGTAACACCTTAGAAGGTGGTTATACGATTTAGTAGGGGAAGGAGACTATAAATCAACTATAGTCTAGACATTTTACATTTTTCAAAATGGAGATTTCAACATCAGAAAGAAAGAGCCAAAGACATACGATTCCTAGTAATAGTCTATAGATAGAGGTAACAGTTAATGGAAAAACGTGCTCTTTTTTAACAGGATGGACAAATAGACCAAAAATAAACAAACACCAAAGTACTCTTTAGCTTTGTAATTTGTACCTCTGTTTTATAATGCCTATGCATTAAATACAATGTCTATAGATTAAAATTGACAATTTCCAAACATTGGCAATAAATATTAAAGAGGTAACTGAATTATATTATATGCCAAGATAAGATATATACCTATATCAGAGTAAAAACAACAGAAAAATATTACTGATAATGAATGATTAAATGCAGATTTGGGGCAAGAGCATTCTAGGGTGGAGCCAACAGAATTCCTTTCTTGTAGCAATAGTAATGTCCAGTTTTAATTCATTTAGAAAATCATGGGCCTATATTATTTTTATCTCTTTTTTAAAAAATGCTGAAAAAACGACTTAGGTTGGTGGCTTAGTTTTATGGAAATGTTCCTTTTAAAGTATTAAATCTGGCACTTGAAGTTGTATTCATTTTTATTTTGTCTTTTCACAGTTTTGTATTATGGTAAAACTGCAGTGTATAAGATTAGTGTATTAATCAAATATATTTCCTGGTATTAAAGGATCATCAAGTAATATTTTTGTTTAATATATTAAATAATTTATAATCCTTTATGTAATTTACTGAATGACTGTAACCATTAATATTTACCCCTTGTGTCAATCTCAAATAAAAATATACACTTATTTTTGGTGTAAATACAGTGCCAAGGTAATGTTGAGATTCCCTGTAGAAACATGTTTGCCTCTTTCTCAATGATATTACTACATTTTAAAAGTTTCTGGTGGATCACGCCTGTAATCATAGCACTTTGGGAGGGCGAGGCAGGCAGATCACTTGAGGTCAGGAGTTCGAGATCATTCTGGCCAACATGGCTAAACCCCGTGTCTACCAAAAATATAAAAATTAGCCAGGTGTGGTGACAAGTGCCTGTGGTCCTAGCTTCTTGGGAGGCTGAGTCAGGACAATCGCTTGAATCCAGAAAGTGGAGGTTGCAGTAAGGAGAGATCGTGCCCCTGCACTCCAGCCTGGGTAACCGAGCAAGACTCAGTCTTGAAAAAATAAAAATAAATAAAATAAAAGTATCAGTCACAATCCAAATATTTTAATTTTTATTTTGGTGATATTTTATTTGCACTTAAATGTTACTTATTTAGAACAGCAGGTAAAAGCAAAGAGCAGAATCGAATAAAAATGTATCTTTAAAACTTATCTTGTTAAATACAAATTTTTTCTAATGGATAATTGTATAGTGAAGCACACAGAAAATAAAGTCTGTTTTTTTGTAAATATTCTATGAATGCATATGAATTTTAATTCCTTTTCAATAGTTGGGGCTAGCCCAGAATAATTTATTAGTAACAAGTACTAAGGCTTGTTTCATATTTAATACTGCCACTATTATACAGTTTTTTTTCATTTTACACTGTCCTATTAATAGTTTGATAATGCTATAAAACATGAGTTGCATTAATTGTTGAAACAGTTTCTTGCTTTCTTTTTTTTTAATCATTTCAGAGATATACCTAGAATACCTGATAGCACATATGCACAACTGGAGTCCAGTAAGTTTTATTTGTTCTAGAAGAAAATGTTATTTATAATTGCATTCATCAGAGGTCAGATGAATTATCTAGTAATGTCAAGTAAGAAATATGGTAACCTTGTTATCAAGTATGTAATCATATAAAGATGGAAAATTTAGTATTCATGTCACTGTGGGGAAAAGTACAAAAATGTAGACTATTTTAAGTTTTTTTTAACCAGATTGTCTTATTACAGATTTTTAGATAGCATTATTAAGGTATACTGTAATAAACTGCAGATACTTAAATAACACAATTAGGTAAGTTTCAACGTGCATATATATCTGTGAAACCATCTTCCCAACAAAAAATCAGGAACTTACCCACTACTCTCAAAAATTCATCCCCAAAACTTCCCCCAGTTTTAAAATTTACTATTTGTAAATTTACTATTTATGATCCTTTATGTAATTTACTGAATGACTGTAACCATTAATATTTACCCCTTGTGTCAAATCTCAAATAAAAATATACACTTATTTTTGGTGTAAATACAGTTTACACCAAAAATAACATAGTAAGTGTTACATTTCCCCGTTAAGTGGGGGGAAATGCTTGCAATAAACTAGTGAATAATTATGTTTATTTTAATTTATATTTTTGGAAAGTGGGATAATAGTTCTGATTTAACATCAGAGCAGTAATGGAACAACAAATACATAAGTTCAGTATCAAATTTATCTATAATCTTAAAAATTATTTTAAGTGCTATTTCAAATGTTAAATTAATTTTTCCAATGAACTAAGTTTCTTGATTGATTGAGGGTACAGTAAGGGATATTAGGAGAGAGGAAGAAAAGGGTTTCAATTTGAAATATGTTGATCAGAATAGACCATACTGAGAAAGAAGGATTGGAGGGAAAATTTGTAGTGGCTGCCTAGGGAGGAGATCTTTCCAGGTATAGAATAGGTGGATATAATGGCTTTAAGGCAAGAAGGCCTAAGTTACATTTAAGGAAATTTAAGTAGGGCAGTGTAGCTGAATGGAGTGAGCAAGGGAAAGAATGGTATGAATGAGGATAGAGGAATAATGGGCAAATTACATATATAAGCCACTGTAAGGACTTCAGCGTTTATTTTCAGGAAAATTGGGAGCTGTCTAGGATGGTTTTTAGGAGATATTTAGTTTTAAAAATGACTACTAGGTTGCAAATATCTTAAATAGAGTCAAGGTAAAAGCAAAGCGAACTAGTGTGAAGGTTAATCTGGTGGCAAGACAGTGGTGACCTAAACCATGATGATAGCAATAAGGATGGTCAGATTCTCTATATACCACAATAATTGGGAATATACTGTTAAAGTAGATGTTTTTTACTTTCATATTTGCAATTACAAGTTTCTTTGAAGTCTTCATCAGAGTAGTCCTTTGAATGCCATAGCTCTATACTTCAAAATACGGTTGATTCAGTATCTTTGACTAAGTGCTAAATGACTATCCAAAATAATATCACGATCACATAAAACTGTACCACAAATAAATAATAAAATTATAAGTATTATAAAATGATATTATCATCTTTATCCTTATTGTTCTCATTTTATTTAGTACTTGCAACTGTGCTTGATGTTGTACCTATACTATCACATTTAATCTTTACAATAATCCTATGGGGTAGGTTAAAATTTGTATTTACCTTTATTAAATTCTCAGATACTGTGTGAGCAACATGGAAACATTTATCTTATTTTAGCTATTAAAAAAGTCTGTAGGCTATAATTCCAGAATTGTTTCAGAGGAGACAGGGGTCCTTTCTCAAATTAGATCCAGTATTTTATTGTTTAAACATTGATGTTTTTCCAAGCCCCTGTCCTTAACCTTTCTGGTCCCTCAATGAATTCTTTTCTTCCTATGGTTGTGATTGCCAGCTGTTTGACTTCTAAGTTAACACTATCAAAAGGAGCTATTATTGTTCCTACCTGCCTGGATGGTCAAAGAATATATACATTCTGTTATGTCTTCCTGCTACCTGAAGCTTAACAACCTTTATTGTAAAAACAAAACAAAACAAAAATGTCCAGCTTATTTCTTGCTGGAAAGGCTTCATTCTTTCTACTTGCTGGTAATATAAAAGGTATCATCGTTACTTCAAATCCCAAGGCTTGCAATTTACCCTTCATTTTACTCTGTACTCTTTCTAGAGGTGAGTTTTATCCACCTTTATTTCCAATTAGACATACAACTCTGCAGGTTAATTTCCAACACTAGTCTCTACTTTGACATTTGTTCCCATTTGTACTTCCACTTAGCTGCTTTACATCTCCCTTTGGATGTCTCAGAGATTTAGGTTCACTGTGTTCCAAATTCAGTTCTTATACATCCATTCCCTTAAACACAGGTCTTCCCCAGTGTTCTGAATCCCAGTGAATGACAGCAATATTTTGTCTGGAGAACACAACAGATACACAGGGAATATTCTTGACCCCAAGAATCAAAATAGTGACAGTAAATATTTAATATTTTATTTCCTTTTTTCATGCCCCTCACTTCTTTATGCCAGTTTAATTTGTTATCTTCTTCCAGACATTGTTTTAAAAAATTAGTAATTTTGGACTTAATTTTTAGCATTTGCAAATGTAGTCTGTCTTCCAGTTGCTTTATTGATTTATGTTTTGATTACTTCTTGTTTCTATTTTTAAAATTTTCTTACTATGTTATTGTAAAATGTGAATATAGTACACCTAACAGACAGTAACTAAGTCCTGAGGTATAGGTCTGAGGTCTGTCTCTACTATAATTGGCATAAAAAAATGGTTCACTGTTAGTCTTAAGAGAATCCCTGTACTGCACTTTTGCTTCCACAAAAACCCTTTAAGAATATTTGGAGCCGGGCGCGGTGGCTCAAGCCTGTAATCCCAGCACTTTGGGAGGCCGAGGCGGGTGGATCACGAGGTCAAGAGATCGAGACCATCCTGGTCAACATGGTGAAACCCCGTCTCTACTAAAAATACAAAAAATTAGCTGGGCATGGTGGCGTGTGCCTGTAATCCCAGCTACTCAGGAGGCTGAGGCAGGAGAATTGCCTGAACCCAGGAGACGGAGGTTGCGGTGAGCCGACATCGCGCCATTGCACTCCAGCCTGGGTAACAAGAGCGAAACTCTGTCTCAAAAAAAAAAAAAAACAAACAAAAAAAAAAAACAAAAAAAAAAAAAAAAAAAAAAGAATATTTGGAATGTTGTGTCTAAGAAAATGGTCTATATAATGACATTTTATGGACATCAAAAAATAATTTAAAAGATGTAGCAAAATTTACTAAGTACTTGTGAAGAGCCATTGTTATTATTTGTTATGTATAATTATCATTTCAGGTTCTAGCTCCTTCGAGTCTCAAAAAATGGATCGTCCTTCTATTTCTGTTACCTCTCCTATGAGTCCTGGAATGTTGCGGGATGTTCCACAGTTCCTATCAGGACAACTTTCAGTATGTAATCATTACATTTACTTTTCTTTTTGGAATATCAAATAGTGATTTTAAGATATGATGCTAGTTTTTTACAAACCAAGTTATTCCTAGAACATAATTGTGCTTTTAACCTCCAGCTTTCTCATTCTTAAAATTTTAATTTTTGAAATCTAATTTTGATTATTTATCATACTGCTTCATTTTGTAGAGTTTAGATTTTCTGGAATTTATAAAAGATTTTATGAAGATACCTAGACCCTTTTTTACTTTAGTAATTATACCAAAATTCAAGCTCATAATTTTTGCTCTGTACGTTAAGATGACTATAAATTGTTGTAGATTTTTAAGAGAAATAAAAATATTGCATTATATAAAGACAGCATTTCAGATAAAAGTAAATATTTATGTATTCTTCAATGCTTTTCAACTTTAAGGATATTTGGTGTAAGTTCATAGTATTCATTGGAGTTGAATATTGCTGCGTAATATAATGGTACTTGATGTTTTTGTCAATAGACAAAATAAATAGGGAAATATATAATAGATTGCTGAATACTTCAGATAACAGCACATTAAGTGATCTCTGATTTGAACATTTTAAAATAAAAGTTAAGTGTTCATTTATGCATTTTATATTGTGTTGATATCAGAGGAGCTTTACAAATATCTTTACTTTTTATTCATTTGTTCTGTTGTCATTTCCTTACTTAACCATTTTAAAATATTAACATAGTTAAATTTATTGTTATATATTAGAAAAATGCAGGTTAATATTATGAGTATTGTTGGCGATTACTAAACTTGAAATTTCCTGAGTATTAAAAAGGTATTTAGGTTGTCAAAATTTAGACACTGAATTTTGGATTTAAACAGTTGCAGTTAAAAACTAAGCTATTTGAGGCTGATATTTTAAGACCAAAAAAGATAGCCCTTTTTGAAAATTAGCTATGAATTTTTTTCTTTCTTTCTTTCTTTCTTTTTTTTTTTTTTTGAGGGGAAAGGGTAGTATTTGATTTTTGTGAAGTAGTTTTATTAATTGAAAGGAGTTATAGTACTGAAGTATATGCAAAAAGGAAAAAAAGGTTATTCGAAGTTATTTAAAAAGTTATTAGACATGTCTTTTTTTTTTTTTAGAACTATTTTGACCATAAAGGTGACAATAACAGAAAAATTACATAAAAAAGAATATCAGATGCTATTAGGAGAATGCAAATGTTTCACTAAAATAATTTTTTCTCTTTATTATTTTCATTTCCTTTCTATTTGATAAACAGAGTAAACTTTTTCATTTGAGACAAGTGGTCTTTTTTTGAGCCTACGCAATAAGTAGCCTATTTCTACTTATTCTCTTACATATATTGACAGCACATATGTTGTCATTTATCTTTACAAATGTATATTTTATTCTGCCATCCTATAAAATGCTAATAAATATTATTTCTTATTATGGATCCATTTCAATAGTTCATTCTTAAATAATGTTTTTGGGACTGGATGATGCCAGTCCATAAATAAATCTGTGTGTGTGTGCGTGTGTGCGTGTGTGTGTGTGTGTCTATGTTTGTGTCTATGTGTACATATAGTTTGCTTGAGTTGGCAAAGAAGGAGTGGAAGTTAGATTTCTGTAATAAATAAGTATCAGTTTATTATCTCATTTGAATCCCAAGGTCTTATTACGGATTGGACTAGGAGGGGCAGAGGAGAAGCGCAGTTCAGGGATTTAGACAAATTTCAAATTCAGCTATTTTTCTTCATGGTTAAAAAATCATATGGTAATAGATAAACTGTTAAATATTTGGGAGAAATATAAACTTAGAAGTTTCACTTCTGAATTTTTGTATAACCATGTAAAGTCTTTAGATTTATAACCATGTATAACCATTATAGTCTTTAGATTTATAAGCAATGTTGTAGTTTAAAATGTGTATTGTTTTCTCCTTTTCTTATGACTTGGAAGGGTTATGTTCCACTATGATATAAGTAGTAAAACTTTTAGCTGCATATGTTTTGAAATTGTCCACACTTACACACATGCCCCACCCACATATATAAAATATATTGGTTATAAATATACTACATATTTATTGTGGGAAATCTGGAAAGTACAAAAAATTAATAAAACATAAAAATCACCTATAATCCAGACACTGACATATAACCATTCACATACATATAAATTTTTAAACAAAACTAAAATAAATATATACTATTTTGAATCCTGATTTTTCATTTAGTAACATTGTGGATGTTTTCCTGTCTTTAAAAATTCCTCTTAAAATTGTTTTAATGGCTATTTTAATACTTCATTGTAACTTAAATCATTATTGTAGGATATCTTGCTTGTTTCTAACTTATTATGAATAATGATACCGTGGAAATTCTTGAATATAAATCTTGAATATTTTTGTTAGGACAAAATCCTTTTGTCAGGATAACTTTCTAGAAATAAAATTACAATATAAAGGGCAAGGGAAAATTTTAGGATTCTTGAAATCTATTTTCAAATTTTTTCTTCAGAAATTGTTTTACCTAATTAACTCCAATCATCTACTTAAGAAGTATGTCTTAAATTCTGACCCCCACATCTAGTATAGTGCTAGTTAGTGGGAATGCAAATGAACATGATGGAATGGTTTTTACCTTTATGTAACTTATAAATTTTATTCTTATATTTTGCAGCCAGGAAAACATAAGTAAGATGCTATCTTGTATATGTTGTTCCCTTTATATTTAATCCTGTCTCTATCAGCCAGGAGACAATTTTGGTTTGCTCTAATGATGTAGAGGTTGGAAAAATATATCTACATATATCAACACTAAGGAAAACTAGGAATTTATAAACCAACATTACAATTCCTTTTTTCTTCTATTCTACCTTTGGACATTTTTGCTTTTCGTGAATTTTTACTTGGGCCCATACCTCACTTACAAAATTATGATATTGCTAATGCCTGAGAACAATGATAATGTTTCTACTATGTGAGCTGACCTTCCTAATATTCTGTCAGTTCATGTCTCAAATACAAAAAATATATATATATATAATAGCATTCTCAAAGGAGGTGATTATAAAATATACATGTAATGTAAATTTGTTGTTTACATTTTCATACTCAAGCTGATGATTATTTTTTAAATGTATGCAATTTATTTTCTCTCCATCCTTGAATTGTCCTGCTGCTTATTTTTCTGCGGCATAACAGTGAAAATGCCATTTATATTTTTGGTGAGGAAAATCAGCATGAACTCAGGTTTATGCCATGTAGGCCGTATGTTAGCATTTTCACTGACAGTACTACCTTATTATGACTCCGTTTTTAAAATGTGTTCTTCCATAATTTAGCAGTTTTTTCCTTCAGTGGATTTCTTTTATAGTTCTTAATATTTTTAATTTGTTTATAGTCTTTGGCTAGTTTTATAATAGGGTGTTAAAAGAAAATATAGCTTCAATTATTTTCAAAGTAAGAAAAGACTCAATTTTTTTCTGTGGGAACATATTATACAATTGAATTTATTGATAATAATATTTTATTTCACTCACTTCATGATCTGTGGTTGATTTATGGTTGCAGTATTTTTCCAAGTTACTTTTAAACAGTATTTTTGACTCCATTTTAAGTAAATATTATAAATATTTATTTTATATATCCATTTAAAAGGAGTACATAATTTAAAAAGAGGTATGTGTCCTTTCTATTTCCTTAGAAACTCCATAGCCTTTTAAAAAATTTCTATAAATGAAAGACTTTTTTTTTTAAATCTTTTACACTTCATTGTCATAACTTTGTTATTCTGAAAGTATTGCATGAAAGGAATGTGTTAAAGCTAGTAGTACAATTAATAGTAGAAAGCAACATTAAATTGCAAAATAAATTGTGGTGTGCAAATTCAAATTCTTCATTTGTATGAGGCCTGAATCGTATCTCTCATGCTTATAATATAAATGAATTAATAGTAATTACAAATTACAGTGAGGCACATAGTAGTTTGCCATCCCTATCTGAAATATCCATAGAGACAGAAAGCAGTAGTTACCAGTGGGCAGCGAGATGGAAAAATAGGGAGTGATTATGTAAGGTATAGAGTGTTCTGCGGTGATAAAAATGTTTTGAAACTGGAAAGAGGTGGTGAATCTACAGAATTCTAAACACAGTGATTGTCACTGAATTGTACACTTTAAAATAGTCAGTTGTGGCTGGGCGTGGTGGCTCATGCCTGTGATTCCAGCACTTTGGGAGGCTCAGGCAGGCAGATCACCTGAGGTCGGGAGTTCAAACCAGCCTGACCAACTTGGAAAAACCCCATCTCTACTAAAAATACAAAATTAATCAGGCGTGGTGGCACATGCCTGTAATCCCAGCTACTCGGTAGGCCAAGGCAGGAGAATCACTTGAACACAAAAGGTGGAGGTTGCAGTGAGCAGAGATTGCGCCATTACTCTCCGTTCTGGGCAACAAGAGTGAGACTCCGTCTCAAAAAAAAAAAAAAAAAAAAAAAAAAAAAAAAAAAAAAAGGTTAGGTGCATGTTTTGTGGATTTTACCTTAATTTTTAAAATATCAACACAAAAATATATTTTTAGAACCATATTTAAAATATAAACTCATGGGTGAAGATTAGATGTAAATTGCCATAGGTTTCAGAAGGTTGATTTCAGAAGTCTGTGAGATGTATGTATGAGTTCATTTTAGAACATAGAAAAATGTTTTAAAGGATTAATTTAATTGAAAGTATTATTTCTTTTTATGTGACTCTTTTCTTTTATGACATAATATTTACTTGTAAAAGTATTCTGTAACGTTAATATTTTTGGTCTAAAACAAAATGGGTAGGAGGACAGGGGACATAAAATGTATTTCTAAAGTACCTTGTTTAGTCCCCTTCTTCAGCATGCTGAGTTTCTCTCTGAATTTCATGTATCCCCTCTGTCATTTACTAAAGCATTGTAACAGCCTGTGGTAATGCAGGCAGACATCAGTAACAGACTCCATATCTGAATATTTCTTCCTTTGGGAATATATGCACACAAAGGAAAACAGCTTAGATTTGAAACTGCCGTGGTTTTGAAACAGAGAGAGAGAGATTGAGAGAGAGAGAAGGATGACTTATGATTGAATGACAGTCTGCTTTTAAATCTGCTTTCCTTCAGGCCTCAGATTTATGTCTTAAATAAACCGTGTCTGTTCAATGCCAACTGAATTGGCCAAAAGTCTTCTTAGTACGCATTATCTGTTTCCAGTTAGCAGTGGAAAGAGAGAAGCCTTTAACTGTTTATGATTTTGAAGTAGACAAGAGAGACGTCCATTAGTAATCTGAGGAATGGGATGGAATCAGAATCTGCTTCTTGGTGATAGAAGCAGAATTAAATGCCTTGAAATCCATTCCCAAACCTGGATTATGTTCTGTTTTAACTGTTGGAATGTTGGAATGTCTAATAAAGGCAACATTCTGATTATTGTGGTGTCTTTTGGAAACTGTTTCAAAATGAAAACCAAAAGTCACTAAGAGAAAGGAAATTTGATTTGATTCTGAGAACCTGATTTAGAGATTTAATTAGAACTGGGCTCTATTTTCTGCCTTTACACTGTCTTGCTTTTTGTTTGAGTATGGCCAAGTGTTTTTAGCAGTTTTCTGTGTTTCCTCATCTACAAATTGGGGGTAGAAGCCACTATCTCATAAGGTTATTGGAAATACCATGAGGCTATAAACTTAACTGTCAATAAAGGCTAAGAAAAATATAGCAAACTGTATAAGAAAGAAATAAGATATTGTCATTAGCAATAAACATATTATATTGAGTGGTACATAATAAATGTCCAATGATGGTGTTTCAGTACTAGAACCTGATATGGATTCATCGAGTATGAATCAACTAATTCAATATGTTTCCACACACTTTAATTTTAATGTGTTTATTCTTTTAAGAAATTCTAAAGCTAATTTGAGTAAGTTTTTTGACTTTGGTTAGACATACTTTGGAGATGTCACACAATTACTTTCACAGATGGCTTTTCGCTAATAACTCGGTAACACATTTTCAACTAACTTCTTTTTGCAGTATCCTATTTTGTGTGTAATGTGTTTAAGAATAAAACCTGAAATTTATTGATTCTTGGGTTATGCTTATAATCATTCTTCAAAATATATGAGCCCAAATATGTTATTTTATATCTAGTCTTTATTCCTGTTATGTGAATGACATTGAACAATTGGATTATACAAATTCTAATATTTTTATAGTTTGTAATATATTTTGGCATTGGACAAATTTATTCATTACATGAAGTACTTAATTTTGATAAATATTGTCATGGAAAAATTGTATTTAAGGGATAGTTGTATGTGTTTGTTTTTACTTTTGGTCTTTTAGTTCCAGCGTGTTGTCCTTTTTGGTTTTGTTTTATTGCTTTTTTCTTTAATTTTGCTTACCAGAGCCAAAGCCTTAGTAGAAGAACAACGCCTTTTGTTCCTAGGGTTCAGGTAAAGGCCTTGTCTGCCTGATAGAAACTAAAGTTGTGTTTTAACCCTTATCTGTATGTTTTTGGAAAATGCGTTAGTAGGAAAACTTATTTTGGTATGTTGCTCCAAACCATATTATTGACTTTCAAATCATTTTATTAGCCAGCTTGTAAACTTCTGCATGGAGATTAGAATACTGAATAAAAATTTAAAGAGACAATCTTTGTTAGTGATTTTTTAATGAAAAACTAAATGCTAAACCTTATAGATGTCAAAGTGGCATTTAAAGTAGGTTTAATGTAGATTCTACTCATATATGTCACATTACAGAAATAGCTAATTTTATACTATCAATATTTTCCTTTATTATATTAAGGTTACTGTCTCTTTAAATCGCTCATTATATCACTTAACATCTATACTCTCTTGCATTTTCCAAGTAATAAATCCTTGAGGAGACCGGCAAATAAATTTGTACCTTATTTAAAATATGAATTTTATGCATATTATATATAAAGTTAAGTTTTTAGAAAGTACTATTTTACTTTGAAAGAACAGAATTGCAATCCAAATAAAAATAAGTTGAGTTTATTTTGTTAATATTTTGTCATTGCAATTTTATTTACTGTTACTGTCATATTTGGGTACAAGTTGTTTGCCTCTTTTCATTAGGAAACCCTTATATGGTAAAGTAGTGTCAATATAGCTTTTTAAAAGTAGTAGTATGCTTTCCTTGCTTTGCTGCATGTTTTTTTTTTTTAATTTGTTGCTTCTGAGTAATATTTTGTTTAAATTTTAAAAATTACTCTAGTTAATATTATACAATAGAAAATATTTACGTATGCTGCTTAGGTCCTACTTAGGAAAATTAAAAATGGTTACATGCTAAAGCTGGAATGATAATGATTTTAAAACAGTTTAAATTATACTAATATTTTTAATAATGAAATTGGGGCTAAACAGAGTCTATGTCAGGACCAGAATTTTGAAATATGTTTGTTATATTTTGGGGGATCAACAGCTGTATTTTAACCTCTTACTTAAAAAGCACAGATAAGAAATTAAGAATGTTATGAAGTGATGTACCTAATAAAATCTGTTTTGATTATGTGAACTGGATATCTATTAAAAACTTCAATGCAAGTCCTATAATATAAATAAAAATTAGAGCTATTATCAAATACCCAGTTTAAGACAGTCTATTAAAAGGTTTAATTTTGATCAAATAATTAGTAAAGTTAAAATGTGCCCATTTGCTATCCAAATTATTTTAGTATCTGTACATTTGTAATTTATAATTTAGTAAACTATAAAATATTATAGCAAAAATATGAAAGCCATATGCTTGCCATATGCTTACTGTCTGTATGAGAAATGGATAATATTAGTAAGTGATAATATTTTGATTTTCTATGGCATAAGGAAATCTGTAAAGAATACTCTCTGTCAGACTTTCGAAGTATATATTTCAAATGCTAGTTTAATGATTTTAAAGGAGCAAAAATATTGCTGGTAGAGATGGCAACAAGTACTTAGTTTAACCCCTGAAAATGTTCTCACAGAAATCAATAATTTGCCCTGATAATTTTTAGCTTAGTCTCTTACTAATTATTATTTCTTTGTTTCTTAAATGTAACATTTATTGCAAAGGAATTTTTTAACCTTGTAGAATCTTTTTTTTCTTTGAGGTGCTTAATATTCTTGTCATGAGCCTCAGAGAAAGCTGTTTAATGTCTTAGAAAAAAATTAAACCATAAAGTCTTTATAACTGGTGAAAATAGAGAATACCATAGAAATCAATTGGGTTTTGGTCACACATTTAGAACCATGAAACCATCTATAACACCTCTTTCATCTCGTATACAATTAAACATTCCTGCATTTCTTTCTTTCATTGTTTTCCCCTCATGTCTTTTGCCAGAAGAATAGTCTCTTTTATGCCCCCTTTTCTTATCTGTATCTATGTGCTAATATTATTAGACAAGCAAGTATTTGAACTGTTGTCTGTTCATATATTGTAGACTTTTTTTCTTCAAGTTGTTGTACTCTTAATCTAAAGCAGTGGTTCTCAAATTTTAATGCGCTTGAGGATCACATAGAGGACTTGTTAAAATTCTGATTAGTAGGTAAGAGGTGGGCCCCAGGAATTTGTAACTTTTTAATAAACAAGTGAGATAGTACTGACACAGGTTTATTAACCACAATTTGAGAAATATTTGTCTAAGGTCTGTTTTTGTACTTAGCAGCTCCATTAGAAAAACTTCTTGTTATATAATAGCAAGATAAAACCTACATTAATTAAAAAGACAACATAAAAACTAACAACTGTAATTTAAAAAATTTGGATATTTCTTACTCATTTCTATGAAAGGGTTGATTCCATTTGGCAAAGAAAAAAATGATATAAATAATTTTATATACTTTTTTGGGCTGTCAGTTTACCTTTTCTGACTCAAAAGTAACTCAGTGTCTCATTCCCTAGGATATGAAGTGAGGGACTCAACAAAGCCATGTTGGAATTGGAACTGAACTGCCAGTGGTTCATGTATAACCAGCACTGATTTTTACCTATTATTTTCAAGTTCCAAATTTCTGGTTCCATTTCAGTTTCAATACAGTGGCTAGAGATGTGCTGAGTTCTGGGTCAAGATGTGGATCACAGCCATACTTACCATAGATCTTGACATAGTAGAATCAGCTAGCTAGGTGTGCAGGTGTGAGGTATGTGTGTGGGAGGTGGTAACTGTTAAATCAACTGAACTCAGCAGCTGGATGTGAAGTTCCCTTCCCTAATTATGGCACAGAGAAATTATTCTCATTTTCTTATCCCAAAAAATAAAATGTACTTTTATTATTCTACTTTTATTATTCTAAGGGTGTTATTCATCAGCTTCACAAAAGAATGAGACTTTCTGTCTGAATAAGGACAATTTTTAAACATGAATTCATTATCGTTTCAAGTTCCAACTGAAGAATCTATTGACTAAAGCTACTAGTAAATCCCTTTTGCTTATAATATTTTAAATGTTTTTAACTATGAAATGACATAAAACATTTACTTGAAAATTCCCTATGAATGCTATATAAACAGGATACTATCTACTCAGTTCATTTTGAGCACTTATTCTGAATTCGGTATCGTAGGGGAACCAAAATGAACTGGTGATTCTTGCATAAGTAAAGATACAGAGTAGTCATTGTATATAAAGTCCTTAATTATGATAATGTAATTATGTGCAGATTAAGATAATAAAAAGTCTACATGCTTTATCAGTCAAACTGAAATGTCTGAATCATTCTTTTATTCATTGAAGTTATTATAGTATATCCTTTTATTTTAACTAGCCACAATTTACTAAGTAAAATTTATATTCTGTGCTAGTGTTACTCTAAGAGAATGGGGTGAAGATTGGAAAAGTAAACATTGTCTTTGTGTAATAAATATTTGAATTGATAAATGAATATATTTGGTTTTCAGATAAAACTATGGTTTGACAAGGTTGGTCACCAATTAATAGTTACAATTTTGGGAGCAAAGGATCTCCCTTCCAGGGAAGATGGGAGGCCAAGGAATCCTTATGTTAAAATCTACTTTCTTCCAGACAGAAGGTAAGGATATAAAACAAAAATAAATGTTCTGGAAAATAAATGAGAAAATGTTAATAGCAATGGGTATTTCAATTCTATATCATTTATTGGTATCATGTGAAGTTTAACATAAATGTGGTGGTTCTTAGGAATCAAAATAGTGACAGTAAATATTTAGGATTTTAAAAACAAACATTGTATATGTGATTTTGAATATTAATTTTAGGCATATGTGTATTATTTCTTGTATATATGTTCATTTTTAAAAATCCTTAAAGATTATGCTTCCAAAAATCAAATTTTTAACACAAATTTTGGAGTCAAAAAGCTAAAATACTAAAATTTTTAGTCTAAAATATTACCTTTCTTAGTCAAAAAGCTAAAAATACTACAAAAGAGTATTCATATTTCTCTACAATTTCTACCTTCCCTTACCAAGATATTATTTCTCTCTATTCTATAGATTTAACAGGTATGTTTTGTATTCATCACCTTATATCATCAAGAAAACTTACTACAGGGCCTAGGATAATTTTCTTCAAGCATTATTTGTTTTGTATCTATTCTAATCAATAAAAATGGTGGTGTTCTACCCTTAATTTTTTTTTTCTTTTTGTTCTACCCTGGTTTAAATGAAGAAATTAGGATTGGAGAAATATGTTATCCAAAAAAAGCTAATCATTCTGAATTTCAGGCGTATAAAAAATAAAAGAGACCATTCAATAGACATAATGAAAAAAGAAAGAAGGAATGATACCAATTACCTTTCCCCAACTATCTGTTTGCATCCCTGCCTCCCAGGGCAGAGTGGTCTCAAGATCTGGTTATTTTTTCTCAAGTTGGAAAGTGGACTGGTACAGATGCGATCTTAAACATGCTTACACACTTTTGGATTCTGATTGATTTTGTTATTTAGTTCAAGTAGAAAGTGATTAAGGTTGAGTTGGGTGCCAGTGTCACCTGACAACAATCTCAGCAAAGAAAAGGACAGTAGAATAGAAAATTAATAAAGGCTTTGCATTTTATTTGATACATATTTTGAAGTCAAAGCTGTATATCAAATTCCTCAGGATACATCAAGATGCCACAACATCTAAAGTTATTAGAAACTATTTGCTATATAATTTTATCTTACACAGTTTGATTAAGATAGCTGTTTTTAACAATTTGGGTTGTCTTTGAGATACATGTGGAACTGTAAGGGAAGAGGACAACCATAATCATCTATGCTTTTGTGTACATTATTTGTTTCTACTTAAAACTTTGAAGGGAAACACATTTTTAAGGCAATTAAAGTTTTGCAAGTTACTTAGTTTCTTTCGTGACTATTTTTGCTTAGTTTTATTTTTATGTAACCCCTCTTCCTGAGCAGATAGTGCTAAAAGGGAAGCTCTTCTAGGCTAAGTGCAGTGGCTCATGCCTGTAATCACAATATCACTTGAGGTGAGGAGTTCAAGACCAGCCTGACCACCATAACATGACCCTATCTCTGTGGCTGTCGCAGTGGCTTGCACCTGTAATCCCAGCACTCTGGGAGGCCGAGGTGGGTGGATCACCTGAGGTCAGGAGATTGAGACCAGCCTGACCAACATAGTGAAACACCATCTCTACTAAAAATACAAAAAAATAGCTGGGTGTGGTAGCAGGTGCCTGTAATCCCAGCTAACTCGGAAGGCTGAGATAGGAGAATTGCTTTAACCAGGAAGGCAGAGGTTGCAGTGAGCTGAGATTGAACGTGCCATTGCACTCTAGCCTGCGTGAAAGATAAAATGGAAGCTCTTCTTAAGCAAACCTTTATATTCTAGATGTAGTGTTTCTTCCATTTTCTCAACACCAAGGAATGTGAGAGGCATTTGAATGTTTCCTTCTCTGATTATTTCTCAGCCAAGTTCCTTGTTAATTATCAGGAATTTGAAGATTCTTTACATAAATTATATAGCTTACTTTATTGATTAGTTTATGTCAAGATTTCATCTGTAATAGTGAAAAAAATTATCTGCCTAACTCAGAAAGTAACATTGTCATCTCAACAATTTTTTATTTGTGGTTGGCACAAGTTTTTACTCATTAATAAAGGATATTTGTGCTTTTGTTATAAATTATTTAATTTTTCTTGACAATTTTTCTCAAAGAAATACTTGAAGAAGTAAACAGAAAACAACTGATTATTAATGAGACATTTTAGAGGGGCAAGGGAGACTGCATAGTAGAAATCTAGTCTAGAATGTCAGTTAAGCCATTTGAACATTATTTTCTAGTTAATGTACTGTGTAAAAAAATAAGTAGGCTTATTTTATACTTTTTTTTTTTTTGAGACAGAGTCTTGCTGTGTGGCTCAGCTGAAGTGCAGTGGCACGATCTCGGCCCACTGCAACCTCTGCTGCCTGGGTTCAAGTGATTCTCCTACCTCAGTCTCCTGAGTAGATGGGACTACAGGTGCATGCCACCACACCCAGCTATTTTTTTGTATTTTAATAGAGATGGGATTTCACCATGTTGGCTAGGATGGTCTCAATCTCCTGACCTCGTGATCCACCTGTCTCAGCCTCCCAAAGTGCTGGGATTACAGGCGTGAGCCACTGCACCTGACCTATACTCTTTTTTTATATCTTGAAGCAAAGTTGATTACCAGTTAAAATATATTTCTTCTTCTAATTTTAAGTAAAAACATCAAGTGTTTTCATGCTGTTACTAAATTAAATGGAAATCAAAGTCCTAGTAACATGAAAATAAATTTTTAAAAAAGAATTAGGTTGTATTTTATTTTTTATAAAAGTTAACTACCTTTTCAGCAATTTGATGATTCCTTTAAAGATCAATTATTTATTTTATTATAATTAGGCTTTTATTTTAGAATAATCTGTATAACATGTTTATTGATCTTAGTTTTTAAATATTTTAGCACCTTTTCAATGTTGACTTACGCAGCATGCTTTGATTCTGAGGGCTTTATTTATACTTACAGAGAAAGTAAAACTCATTTTTTTAACTTGATGAAGATAACGTTATTTTTTCATGGTTCTTTTTATGAATTGGTGCTTAGGTACATTCTACATTGCCTTATTAAATTGCAATCACATATGTTAGGTTTATAAGGAACTTCAGAGATTGTCTAGTCCTCTTCCAATTCAATATAGAAATATTGTCTAAACTTGTCATTCTGTTTTTGTTTTGTTTGGTTTTTGAGATGGAGTCTCATTCTGTCACCTAGGCTAGAGTGCAGTGGCATGTTCTGGGCTTACTGCAACCTCCAACTCCCAGCTTCAAGCGATTCTCCTGCCTCTGCCTCTCAAGTAGCTGGGATTGCAGTTGTGTGCCACCACACCCGGCTAATTTTTGTATTTTTAGTAGAAACGGGGCTTCGCCATGTTGGTCAGGCTGTTCTCATACTCCTGACCTCGTGATCCACCCACCTCGGCCTTCTAAGGTGCTGTGATTACAAGCATGAGCCACAGCGCCCAGCCAAATTGTCATTCTTTATCTGAGAGCTTTTTTTCTGTTCTTAAGAGGTAGTTCATGACTTACTCCTCTTCTTTTTTCTTTCAGATTTTGATATAAACTATTCTTGAATTAGATAGTAAGGCTTCTGTTAAATACTTTCATCCTGGCCTTTGTGGAAGGAACTTTATCTCTTGACAGGGTCTCAATATTCATTCTTCATCAATGAAATATGAGTAGATGTTAAATAAATATTTGTTAAAGCTTTAAAAGAAGGGAGTGAGAAAAAAATCATACATCACAATCCTTGTTTCAGATAATTTATTCCCATACACATTTATTACTTTTTTCCATGTATAGTGATAAAATCTCCTACATGGGTTTGCAATGTCATTTTTCTGCCCATGCCTTATGGTTAATAAAGCTACATTACATGTTATCTTTTCCATGTATATTAGCAAAGTTCATTATCAATTAATGTATTTAAAGGCAGCTTTCTGCCACATTATATATGTGTGCTCTGGAAACACACAATACCTCTTCATTATTCAGGTAAAATCTATATTAAACATTGAAATGCCAGTGAGAAGAAGTCGCGTAACTTTCCAATTTCAAAGACAGTCGTACACCTTCTTTGTTCTCTCTCCTCCCTATTTCTCAAAACTCTTAGAACTGTGTTGTGCTAAGGTAGTTTGTGGCTATTGATACTGTTCTAATTGGGGCTTGTCTGTCATTTTAAATAGATTCCTTAGGTAGCTTAAATTGTATTTTCTAGGAATTTTTATTCCTATCCAGCCAGTGATCCCAATAAGCAAGAATAGTGATCTTCAAATAGATTGGATGTACCCTAGGCGATGTATAGGATAATCCTCATGTTCAGAAAGAAATATTTACATGTTTAAAAATTTTTATTTTATTATTTTAAATTTCTGTTTTATTATATTTCCCAACACAACAGTATGGTAATACACATACAGAGATATACAACCAGAAAGAACATGGAAACCTCTCAGCTAGCAATCCCATTTATTGGGATGGCTATCTTGCATTTTCATCCCATGTTATGGTGACTATCTCGCATAGAAATAAATTTACAATGTTTTAAAGTACCAAATATATGTCAAATAAACAAATCTGAATTTCTTGTATTTAAAAAAATACCTTTACAAATACAAATTATAATTGGTCATTAGCTAGAACTTTATAGGTAAGAAATTGTGAATATCACAATTACTCATCTTTTTTGTACAGTGAAACTTCTATAATTTAAGTGAGTAGTATATGTAATGTTACTGGTTAATTATCATTAGAAAGTTTTCAATATGGCAATATGTTAAAAAATTATAGAGTCAAGATTCTCAAGTCTGGTTTTATTTAGATTTCGAGAAAGATTAAGTTTTCAATAATCTGTTATTGAAAAAATTTAAGATTTGTTGAAACATTGCTATTATTGTCATACCTACAAAATGTGTTATAGTATGTAGCTTAAATTTTTCGTAATTTTAAAGACTATAACATTTGTAATGTGTGACAAATAAATGGTCGTGTCTCCAGAGAAATTTTACATTAATAAATTTTAAGACAAAACTTATAATTCTATGTAAGTTTATAATTTGTTGTTTTTTCCATAGTGATAAAAACAAGAGAAGAACTAAAACAGTAAAGAAAACATTGGAACCCAAATGGAACCAAACATTTATTTATTCTCCAGTCCACCGAAGAGAATTTCGGGAACGGATGCTAGAGATTACCCTTTGGGATCAAGCTCGAGTTCGAGAGGAAGAAAGTGAATTCTTAGGCGAGGTATTTGGAGTTGTTTTAAAGTTTACACTATTCATGTTATCCTGATTACTTCAGTACAATTATATATATATAGAATATCTGCAAAAGTAGACACAGTTTCTTTAATGGAATAAATTTCAGCTACCGCTTTGGGACAAAACTTGATGCTATAGAAAACAGTGGCTCTATATATTCTGACAATTTTTACATGTTTGTTCTTATTTTAGAACTCTGTGTTGAATGATAAAAGGTTTGTATTTCACAAATATATTCTTTTGTTTTATAGTGATGTGTATATCTTGGTAGTTTACTGAACAGACTATACCACTACTAAGTAGTTAAACCATTTGTTTATGGATTATTTTCAAGCCCTACAATGTAACCGATCCTTCAAAGGTAAACAAGTAATGTTACTTCAAGGAATTTACAATTCACTGGTGATACAGACACATGAATAGCAATTAGACTATAGCATCCCAATTGCTATGAAGGGGAAATTGCAATAGGAATACATAATTATTGTGCACAGGAGGGCAGGTGGTCAAAGGAAGTCTTCACCAAGAGAGAGGAATTTTGCAAATTCAAGGGGAGTGATATTCCTGCAGAGGGAGTAAGAAGACATCAGGCATGAGAAGATCTTGGTCAACTGCATTGAAATTGGAAGGGAATGTGGTAAGAAATGAAGTTTAAGGCTTAAACTGAGACCAGAGTATGTCTCTTAATATATAAACAAATTTGGAGTTATCCGGTGGATAATGGGAACCAATGACCAATAACCAATTCTGTTTCCCAACTCTGTGGAGTCTCGCTTTGTCACAGTGGCATAGTCATAGCTCACGGCTGCCTCAACTCCTGGGCTCAAGTAATTCTTCTGCCTCAGCTTCCCAAGTAGCTGGGACTATAGGCACCTACCACCATGCCTGGCTAATTTTATTTTTTTTGTAGGGATGGGGTCTCATCATCTTGCACAGTCTCATATCCTCTTTAAAAAGAAAATGGTTGGATCATACTTGAGAAAAGTATTCCCAGCTGTAATGTAGAGAATTATTGGAGAGGGGAAAGATGGGAAGAAATTATCCAGGTATTAGCATGCAGTTCACTTTCAGTCTTTTTCAGTGTGGTTGGTATATTTGTTCATTTTTATGCTGCGGATAAAGATATACCGAAGGCTGGGAAGAAAAAGGGGTTTAATGTACTTACGGTTCCACATGGCTAGGGAGGCCTTAACAATCATGGAGGAAGGGAAGGAGGAGCAAGCCACTTATGCAAATTTCTGCAGCTGGCTTGAATTTCTCCTCAGAAAATGGGATTTTTTTTCTATCACATTGTCAGGCTGCAAGTTTTCCAAACTTTTATGCTCTGCTTCCCTTATAAAACTGAATGCTGGCTTGGTGCGGTGGCTCATGCCTATAATCCCAACACTTCGGGAGGCTGAGGCGGGTGGATCACAAGGTCAAGAGATCAAGACCATCCTGGCCAACATGGTGAAACCCTGTCTCTACTAAAAATACAAAAATTAGCTGGGCACGGTGGTGCACACCTGTAGTCCCAGCTACTCGAGAAGCTAAGGCAGGAGAATCACTTGAACCCAGGAGGCAGAAGTTGCAGTGAGCCAAGATCGAGCCTCTGTGCTCCAGCCTAGTGACAGAGCGAGACTTCATCTCTAAATAAATAAACAAATAAATAGATAAATAAATAAATAAAAACAAATGCCTTTAACAAAACCCAAGTAACCTCTCGACTGCTTTGCTGCTTCAACATTTGTTCTACCAGATATCCTAAATCATCTCCCTCAAGTTTAAATTGAGACAAATTGAGATTTGTTTTCCTCCACTAATCTCTAGGGCAGGTGCAAAATGCCACCAGTCTCTTTGCCATAGCATAACCAGAATCACTGTTGCTCCAGTTCCCAACAAATTCCTCCTTTCCATATGAGACCACCTCAGCCTGGACTTTATTGTCCATATAGCTATCAGCATTTTGGGCAAAGCCATTCAACAAGTTTCTAGGAAGTTCCAAACTTTCCCTTATTTTCCTGTCTTCTTTTGAGCCCTCCAAAGTGTTCCAACCCCTGCCTGTTAACCAGTTCCAAAGTCGCTTACACATTTTCGGATATCTTTTCATCAGTATCCCACTCTACTAGTACCAATTTACTGTATTAGTTCGTTTTCCTGCTGCTGGTAAAGACGTACTCGAGACTGGGAAGAAAAAGAGTTACAGTTCCACATGGCTGGGGAGACCTCACAATCATGGTAGAAGGCAAGGAGGAGCATGTTATCTCTTACATGGATGGCAGCAGACAAAGAGAGAGAGCTTGTGCAGGAGAACTCCTCTTTATAAAATCATCGGATCTCATGAGACTTACTCACTATGAGGAGAACAGCATGAGAAAGACCCACCCTCATTCTTCAGTTACTTCCCACTGGGTCTCTCCCACAACACAAAGGTATTATGGAAGTTAAAATTCAGATGAAATTTGGGTGGGAACACAGCCAAACCATATCAGTTGGTTTTTCTGAGTAAATTAAATGGTAATTTCATGGGAAAAACAGCAACCTATAGAAATATTGAAGTGAGTGTTGTCAGCTAAGGAACCAATGAGTGATAAAACTAAAAACCCTTCTATGACCCTTGGGAAGAAGGGTCACACAGTTGTTAGGAGCAGATATTCTGGAGCTCGCTGCCTGGGTTTATATACCTGGCACTACCACTTCTTAGCCTTGTGTCTTTGAACAAGTTATTTAACCCATTCTTGCATCAGACTTTTCTTTAGCCTAGTGGGAATAATACTAGTATGCAACTCAGTTAATATGAGGTTTAAATAAGTGTATTGTATTGTGTGTTTGTAATTCTTTGGAGCATAGTACCTATAATTTTGAAAATGGCTAGGGAAAATTTAGGAAGAGTGAAATAGGTCCAGGCATGGTGGCTCACACTTGTAATACCAACTCTTTGGGAAGCTGAGGCAGGAGGATAGCCTACGACCAGGAGTTCAAGACCAGCCTGGTAACACAGCAAGACTCCCATGTATAAAAAAAACAAAAAAGTTATTAGCCAGGCATCGTGGTACATACAGTAGTCCCAGCTACTCAGGAGGCTGAGATGGGAGAATTGCCTTACCCCAGGTGTTTGAGGCTGCAGTTAACTATGATTGCACCCCTGCACTCCAGGCTGGGTGACAGAGCAAGACCCTGTCTCAAAAACAAAAAAGAAAAAATGAAATACTAACTTGGCTGTGTTGCTTCTTTACCTTCCTTAGGTAAATAGTAATGTATCTTCATGTGGCAGTTCTTGTAAACACAACCACAAACACTGTCACACTTGCACAACATCAAAAAAAAAAAAAAAGACGTAAATTTCTACAGACAGATATTTTGGATAAATTTTTAAAATATTCCTGTAATAAAATTTATAATATGGTTCATATTTAAAATCCATTCTTGTTTTTTTTCTTTTCTTGTTTTAAATCTTTAACAGGTGGTGTTGTAAATATAGAATTTTAAATAAGACATGCTGATTCAGATTACACCTCTTTCACTTGCAAGCTGGTGTGCCCTTAGACAAGTTCTTTTAACCTTTGTTAGCCTTGGTATTTTTGTTCATGAAAATTAAACAATAAGACAAAGCTAGTAGTTTTTTAATAATTATGACAAATAATAGGCACATCCTTATAACACAATAAGGACTTCAAATTTGTTTTTCTCTTCCCATTTAGGAGTTCTTGTAAAAGTTAATTTTTTTTTAACTTTCATTTTAAGGTCAGGGATACATGTACAGGTTTGTTACATAGGCAAACATATGTCATGCTTATTGCGCAGTTGTTAGTTGTGCAGATTATTTCATTACCCAGGTATTATGCCTAGTACCAATTAGTATTTTTCCTGATCCTCTTCCTCCACCCACCCTCTACTCTCCAATAGGCCCCAGTATGTGTTATTTGCTCTGTGGGTCCATGTGTTCTCATCTCACTTAAAAGTGAGAATGTGCAGTATTTGGTTTTCTGTTCCTGCATTCATTTGTTAAGGATAATAGCCTCCAGCTCCATCCATATCCCTGTGAAGGGCGTGATCTTGTTCTTTTTTATGGCTGCATAGTATTCCACGGTGTATACGTACCATAATTTTCTCCAGTCTATCACTGATGGGCATTTAGGTTGATGCTAAATAAAAATGCTTTTTAACTTCTAAAATGATATACAAATATTAGTTGTTATTACTCATTTATAATGAAAAGTGTTAATTTTTGTAATGGTAAATTTAATAGCCTCTAGTAGTGGGTAGTCAAGGGTCAACAAAATAAATGTCTTAGATATTTAAAACTATTAAGACACTAAGAAGTTATAAAAGTTTATTTATTGTCAAAAACATATTGACAATTTTGCAACATCTAAATGACCTTGCTTTTTATATAATAGCATTACTATTATAATTATTACTATAAAAGTTATAGGACCATTTAACATAATTTCTTTATTATTGTTATGTTATAACCATCCTTTGTCTCTTGGGTTTGTAGATTTTAATTGAATTAGAAACAGCGTTATTAGATGATGAGCCACATTGGTACAAACTTCAGACGCATGATATCTCTTCATTGCCACTTCCCCACCCTTCTCCATATATGCCGCGAAGACAACTCCATGGAGAGAGCCCAACAAGGAGGTTACAAAGTAAGTTTTAGTAAAATTTTTCATGTTTTTATTGAATTTTCCTAATCTTGAGTAATATATATGATACAGAACTGGAAGATATCACTGTGGATATTAATAGGAGTTTGCTCATGTTTCCGTAGCTATTACTACTAAAATAAGGTTGTACCCATAATATTCACCTATCACAATGTTAAAAACTTTATATTTGTATTTTGGATGCTATGACACCGAATAAGCACATTTACATTTAAATCTTAGTGCTTAGAATCCTAAATATAAGAATAAAATAGCTAATATGAGTTTAGTCACATGGCAATATACACAAAATTATTATTTCCTCCTTTATTATTCTAGATATTTTATGAATATGAAGTATACCAAGTATAGTGTAGTGGATGAAAATGTGAACTTTAACTTCAGACTACTCTGAGTTTAAATATTAATTCTTACACTTCAGAACTGTATATCTTATGGCAGATCATCTCTCTATTCCTCACTTTCTTCTTTTATAAAAGGGAAATAGTAATACCTGCATTACAGGGGAGTTATAGGAATTAATTAGTCTCAAGAATATAAACCGATGTTATTATTATTGTTATTATTATCATCATGTACATTTTTCCCTGGATTGTACAGCCTGAAATATGAAATAGAATTACATTATTACAGAGATGCTTAGAAGAAACTCAGAAATATTTTTCAGATTGAAAGATGATGTTTTAGGCTCTTTGCCCCTAAATCTCCAGTCATTATTTTTCTAATGAATCTGTTATTGGAAACTAAGGTGTATGCATACTGTTTTGCATAGTATTCATGGGGTAGTTATATTTTTATGGAGGCAGCATGCTCCAGTTTTAGTAAAATTTTTGTCAAGTTGTGCAGGACTGATTGGCATTAACCAAATTTTAGAAGTATAAATTTATAAGCACAAATGCCATGTCATTTATTAATCATGGAAAGTATAGCTGGCAATTGAACAAATGAGTTTCATCTATATGGATCATACCCTTCTGCTGAATAGAATACATTATATATATTAGAAGGCTGCTTGATTATTAGAGAATTAGAGCTAAGGACTGATCTTATGGTATATTTAGTAGTCATAGGAAAGCCTAGAGACTTATCTTCACTCCTTTTTTTTTTTTTTTTTTTTTTTTTTTTTTTTTTTTTTTTTTTTTTTTTTTTTTTTTTTTTTGAGACGGAGTTTCGCTCTTGTTACCCAGGCTGGAGTGCAATGGCGCGATCTCGGCTCACCGCAACCTCCGCCTCCTGGGTTCAGGCAATTCTCCTGCCTCAGCCTCCTGAGTAGCTGGGATTTACAGGCACGCACCACCATGCCCAGCTATTTTTTTTTGTATTTTTAGTAGAGACGGGGTTTCACCATGTTGACCAAGATGGTCTCAATCTCTTGACCTTGTGATCCACCCGCCTCGGCCTCCCAAAGTGCTGAGACTACAGGCTTGAGCCACCGCGCCCGGCCTTCACTCCTTTTTAAAATAACCTTTCTTTACTGGAATTTTATTTCCACTTAATACTGTATTGTACCTTTGGATGGCATTAACTGAACACTAATTCTACAGCATTAACTTCTTTCAGCCTCCACATACAGTAAACACCCACTTCTATTTTCAAATGCCATTACAACATCCTTTGTTGTAATAATCATGTTAAAATGAATTGTATATGAACTAATTCTATTCTTTGTGACTGTTGTATCTATTCAGTATATTCTCTCTAAATAACAGTGTAGGGTGATGAGTTACCACATGATGATTATTAATATATGTAGTAACCTAATATAATTTATTACATACTGATTCTTAAAGTTTATAGGCTGCTAACACTTTTCTTTTGGGGTTGGCCTTTTCTTCAGTTTTTATTACAATAACTAGTAGATTTGAGGACTCTCAATACCTGAAATTCTTAAATCTACCAATGTTTTTCATTTTTTTCCCCTCGCTAAATAGGAATAGTGGATGTGAGAAACAATGAGATCAGAGTACTGGTTAGCTGTATGTGACATGGATTTTCATGTAGTTATTATAATTTATATTGTAGCTTTTAATATTTTTACATCCCCAAATGATCTTTCTGATACTTAGTAATAGTATTAAATTTATCCATGGGCAATATAATGACACCAAGTTTTACCATGCCAGTCTTGACACTGTCAGCTAACCTCTAATAAATAATGTATTAATGATGTGTAAACCTGAAGATAAGCAAAAACATGTACATACATATAAAAAAAGAAACAAAAACTAGGAAATAAAATTTAAGATTAGATAGAAAGCTAAAAACAACATTATGTTTGGCTAAATAGGCTAACAGGATATATTAATCATAATAGAAGGTACAAGTCAGGATATGAATAAATAAATCTACTACTATTTTATAAACCTCATTGATGACAAGAACCTCCTTAAGGGTTTTTCTTCATCTAGCAGATAAATAATTACATTTATTTTAAAGTATGTATCATATACAGATGAATAGTTATCATTAAAAGTATGTAATTCCCATTTGGGGAATTACATTGGAATACAATGAACAACTCTGTGCCCAAATGGTAAACAACATGGATGACATAGATAAATTCCTGGAGAGCCACAAATTAGAGAAACTGACCCATAAAAAGTTACAAATCTGAATAAATCTATAATAAGTAAAGAAATTGAATTAATGAATTAATAATGAAAAATCTTCGAAAAAAGAAAAGTCTAGGCTTCACTCTTTAATTTTATTAAACCTAAGAAAAATAACACTAATGTTTCTCAAATTCCTTGACAAGAAAGAGAAGGGAACACCCACCAATTCATTCTATAAGGCCAGTATTTTCCTCACGCCAAAGTCAGAGGAACATATAACAAGAAAAGAAAACTACAGGCAAATATTCTTCATGAACATACACATAGACGTCTTCAAGAAATTATTAATAAATGAACTCCAACAGTATATAAAAAAGATTATATACTGTAACCAAAAGGGGTTTATCCCAGTAATATAGAGTTGGTTCATTATCTAAAAATCAAGTAATGTAATTCAACATATTAATAGAAAAAAGAACAACATATTTCATATGTTTATTTCACATGAATATATGAAAATATGAAGAAAAAGCTTTGGCAGGATTCAGTACTCATTCACACCACAAAAAAAGTGAAATCGGCATAGAAGAGAGCATAGTAGGCCTACAAGAGAACCCTCCACAAAGTCGGCTTAGAAGAAAACTTTCTTAACATGATAAAGACACCTATGAACACCCTTTAGATGGCAAACCGTATTTAACGGTAATGAATGCTTTTCCTCTAATATTGATAACTAGGAAAGGATATCTCTTCTTATCACTCTATTCAGCAGTATACTGGAGATTTTAGTTAGGACAGTGAGGAAAGAAAAATACATAAAAGGCATTCAGAATGGTGAGGAAGAAGAGAAACTGCCTTTATTCACAGATGACATGATTCTATATGTACAAGATTCTAAAGACCCCACACAAAAACTACTAGAACTAATAAACAAGGACAGCAAGGTCCTAAGATACATGAACAATATCCAAGAATCTATACAATAACATTTTGAGAAGGAAATTAAGAAAACATTTTTGACCTGGCACAGTGGCTCATGCCTATAATCCCAGCACTTTAGGAGGCTGAGGCAGGCAGATCACTTGAAGTCAGGAGTTGAGACGAACCTTTTCAGGTTATCAATATTAGAGGGAAAGCATTCATTACCATTAAATATGGTTTGTCACCTAAAAGGTGTTCATAAGTGGTCTTTATCATATTAAGAAGGTTCTCTTCTGTGCCTACTTTGTGGAGGGTTCTCGCCTAGGCCTACTATGTTCTCTTCTATGCCTATTCACTTTTATTTTTAAATTATGAATGAGTATTGAATTCTTTTGATGAAAGAATTCAAATTGTGAAACCCCATTCTCCTAAAAGTACAAAAGTTAACCGAGTGTAGTGGCTGGCACCTGTAATCACAGCTAGTCGGGAGGCTGAGACAGGATAATCACTTGAACTTGTAAGGCAGAGGTTACAGTGAGCCAAAATCATGCCACTGCACTCCAGCCTGGGTGACAGAGTGAGACTCCATCTCAAAAAAGACCCCCCCCCAAAAAAAAACCCAAAATGAATGAATTAAATTTTACAAGGTAAGTGCAAACTTTTACACTAAAAAAAAAAAAAAAAAAAAATCACAAAACGTTTTTCAGAGAAATGAAAAAAATATAAATAAATGGAGATGTATTCCACATGCATGAATTGGAAGACCCAGCATTATTAAGATGGTAGCTGTTGCCCAAATTAAACCCAATTTCTATCAAAATTAAGATTAAACCCAATTTCTATCAAAATCTAAGCAGGATATTTTGCTGAAATTAATAAGCTGATTCTAACCTTTATATGCAAATATATCAGATCCAGAACAGCCAAAACAAATCTTGAAGATGTATATTTCCTCATTTCCATATTTATCGTACAGCTACAGTAATTGCAATGCTGTAATACTGGAATAATGATAGATCTATAGATAAATGAAACCTAATTTAGAATTCAGAAATTATATTCATGATCAATTGATTCTCAACAAAGGAACCAAAGCAATTCAACGGGGGAAAATAGTTTTTTTTTTTTTCTAATAATGCTGGAACAATTGAATATCCACATACAAAATAGTTAATTTAGACGTAACCTCACACTAAACACAAAAATTAAGTTAAAATGGATAATAGACCTAGCTGTAGGAGTTAAGACTATGAAAGACTTAGACGAAAACGTAGGATAAAAATCTTCATTTCTTTGAGTTAGGCAGAGTTTTCCCCAAAACAGCACCAAAAGCTTGATCAATAAAAAATAATACATTGGACTTCATCAAAATGTAAAACATTTGCTTCTGAGGACATCATCAAGATTTTTTAAAGAGCTTCAGGCTGGGAGAAAATACAGTCATCTGGCACTTAATGACCAGGTTACTTTTTGAGAAATGTGCCATTGGAAAATTTCATCTTTGTATGA